GGGGTTTCACCATGTTGACCAGGACGGTCTCGATCTCTTGACCTCGTGATCCACCCGCCTCGGCCTCCCAAAGTGCTGGGATTACAGGCTTGAGCCACCGCGCCCGGCCCCTGAGAAAAAGTTTCTTACTGTCTCAAAGGGCATGTAGGAGTCACAAAAGGAATGGGGAGGAGGGAGGGAACACACAGAAAGAATTATGCCCTGTGACCAAAATCACAATTCATAGGCCCACATGCCAAAAGCCTTCCACACAGTCATGGAGTGACACATGAATCCATCGCCACAAACCAACACTCCTAGAGGTGTGTGATTTCCCTCCTGCATGTCACAAGCCCAGGCCAGTGCTCACCGTCACGTGCAAGGCTGCCAGGGCCTCATCTATAGCAGCCAGGTAGTCAGGCAGCAGGTCCAGGAGACAGGTGGCCAAAAAGACGCCCCCCGCAAAACAGCTTACTAAGCTTAGGGCTTTCTGGCGGGAAGCTGGGCAGGGGTGAAGCACAGAGGAGAATGAGCAAACGAATCCTCTCCAGGGCCCACCTCCCCAACCCAAACAATGGCTACCCTTGCCTTTCCCTCCTCCTTTGGTATCTCCCCCCAGCCCCAGCCTCCCCTAAGCCAAGCGTCCATAGCAGCATGGGGAAAAGGAAGGGCTTACCCGAGCCTTCATGGTTAGCTCCTGGCCTGCGCAGCACACAGATGGGCACCAGGCTGCAGAGAAGGGTGAGCACCAGCAGCAGCACCAGGGCCCCCAACTTCACCTCCAGCCCCACAAGCACTGGAGGCTCTGAAGCTACTGCCTCTGGGCGCCACACCAGGAGTTCGGGCTCTCCCCAGGGCCCCATGGTGCTTCTGGTAGCTCCAGTGACTCTCAGACCTAGGAAGACAGACCAGAGTGGGTGGGGAAAAATCATGGACGGAAAGATGGGGCAAGGAATGGGGAAGCTTGGTCAGCAGAGTGCAGTTCCCTGGCCCCAGGCACTTTCTGACCTCCCCCAACCCAGAGTGACTCATTCACTCCTGTACCAGGAACATTCCTCTCTTCTCAGACTTTCTTTCCCAAGTGACTTATTCAGGGTGACCGCAAGGGGGAAACTGAGGCATGAGAAAGGCTGTGTATCCACTCTC